GCCGGATGCTTTGTTGGCGTAGAAGATTGGAGGTTAGTCTCCGCAATGAGATTTCCGAGAATCTTGATTCTATCTGCCGAGTTGCTGACATCCTTAGTGTCGAAAAAAATCTGTACGCCGTGGATCCAGCGTAAAAAGGGCTCGGTTTCTTGGAACGGTCCGCGGTAGATTGGGCCGTCCGACGTGCGGAACTTTTGTAGATCGACCCGGCCTGGAGCAGCTTGTACAGGGCGAGCATCAACCTCATTTTTGACGTTCATTGCTAGGAGGAGGTCCTCCAAACGGCCGATGCGGGCGGCGTTGGCTTGGTGAGCTGCTAGAAAGATTTGCCGATCTGCGCGACGGTCGGCTATAGCTTGTTGGCGGTCCTCCTGCGCTTGTGTAATCGATGCGTGTTGAAGCTTGAAAACCGCCTTGAACCAATCCTTGGCGGTTTGCATATCCGATGCGTCCGCCGTGCGTGTTGACTCGGTGGTTTGTTCTTCACCTTGAGTGGTCTCGTCGGGCATCTTGGTCGGGAGAAATGGGTGTAGTGGGGCGGTCGAAGGAGATGGGAGCGGCGGGGCAGTTGTAGGAGATGGGGGTTGAAGGTGGGCGATGCGTCGACGTTCGGCGTTCCCCGCTCGAAGTATGGCTTCTGGGTCAGTTAGTGGGAGAAGTTTGTCGGGGGCGGTGTTGCTCCTCGTGGGCATAAATTCGGGGTAATCAAGGCAGTAAGGAAGTGAAGTCCCAGTCGGTCGGTCGCAGTAAATCAGGTGAAGAAATCGAGTCACTACAGTCGTAGTGAGAAGTCCAGTCGCGCAGCCCTAATAAGTTCAGTCGGAACAGTCGAAGCAGTACAGTCGGGCAGTCGTAGGCAATTCAGTCGGGGCAGTTCAGGGTGTATCGTGGTAGAAAATCAGTCGTCGGTTACAGTAATGTCGGCCGAGGAAGGTGAAGCAGTCCAGTCGAGGTAGATAGTTTGTTGGTGGTTTGGTGTGAGAAAAAAAAAGTGTAAGGACTGCGAATGTCCTTCACTGGATGAGTCGAGGAAAGGCACAAGGGACAGGCAAGGAGCCTAGAATTTTTCTAAGACCAAACGTGGGGGAGCTTTTTATTACCTGGCTCAGAGAGATGGAAGGGCAATTCTCTCAGTACAATCTAGAAAGAGAGAAAGACAAGAAGAAAAGGAAATAGAGCTTACCTGGCTCAGAGAGATGGAAGGGCAATTCTCTGCAGAGCCAGGAATGTGAAAAGGAAAATGAAGACTAAGGAGAGAGTGTGACATGTGAATGAAAGGTTTGTGAACTCAACCAAAGGAGGGGTTTACAAAAATCAATAATAATTACTTCTGGTAACTACTAGTAAGTGATGTCTGCTAAGTAATTATCTGTTTACTTCTCTAATGCAAGCATGGGGAACAAAGTAAGTGGGAAAGGGTATTCTCTATATACATGTGGGTGGTTCTGATCAGATACTAGTGGTAAGATATCAGCTGATGCAAGAAGATGGTATGAAATAAGTTGTATCTGAAAGACAATTGGTTATGAAATAAATGTGGCTGACAAATGTGTAGTGTGAAATAAACATGTTGAAAAGGAGAAAATATGAAGTAACTTCTGTTTGCGATAAAAATAATATGTAGTGCAAAAAGAAATGAGATAATCAAAGACTGAAATAAATATTCTGAGGTGAGATGAGAAATCTGTGTGGTGAAATATATATGTAGGTGATATAAGCAATGAGTAATGAGTTGAAATGAGATGTATGATGAGAATGTAGGTGATATAAGCCATGTGTATTGATTTTGAAATGGAATGTAAGAATGAAATACTTGTAGTATGAAATAAATGTAGAATAAAATAAATGTAGAATGAAGTAATTGATGTATGAAAAGAAGTGGATGATGAGTGAGATGAGATGACAATATCTGGATGAGAAATCAGATGTATGGGATGAAACAGTATATGTAGTCTGAATAAGCGATATCTGAGATGAAATAAATAACATTTACTGAAAGATTATTATCATAGAAAGAAGTTACTGAGGGAAGACTAATTTGTATCTTGAGATGTGTGATATGTAGTATGTTGTAGCTATGTAGTACTATATATTATGTAACCAAACTATGTAAGAAATACTGTTTTGTAACCTTCTGAACTGGGTACAAGATAATGGGTTATGTAGCATGTGCATATCTGGTTGTAATAACATGAAAACTACTATAAATAGCTATTTTGTACTATATATGACCTTGATTGGTCTCACCACAGTGGCCGGGAGGAATCCTCCCGGCCACTGGTATTTTTTTTTTTTTGATCACCAACCCCCCAAAACCACTTGCTTTTGGGACATCAACACCCAACCCCTCCGGGGTTTTTCTTTTTTTTTATTTAAATTTTTTTGGGGGGCCAACTCCCCAACCCACAGATGGATTTGGGGAATTGACTCCCAAATTTGGGGAAAACCCGGGTTTGGGAGTCAACTCTCCAATTTTTGGGAGTCAGTTGATCAAGTCCCCTGGCTGATACTAGTATCCCAAATGTTGATGGGCAGCTACTAGGCCAATGAAGGATGATCAGTTATCTGGATGGCTGGGGCAGGATCTGATGGGGAACAAATGAAGAGGGAAAACAAGGCTCCTTATATAAAAAATCTCGGGAATGGCCATCTTGTGGTTGGAAACACCATAGAAAAAAAATGGAAAAGAGAAAATTGTCAAACTGAAACAATGTGTCCCAATTGTTAAGTACTAAGATAAATGGGGAAAATGACATCAGAGTCATGCAGGGATGAATTGTGCCACAATGAATGAGGGAGGAAGGATATACCAAATAGATAAATGAACTATCCAGATGTGTACTAGTGTGAGACATGAAAATAACCCAAGAGGAATAGTGTGAAACAACAGAATGTGGCCCAGAGTGGAAATGAGACTAGAGTGAATTTGGTTTACAGTGAAACACATGCAGAGGCCAAGTGTGGAAGGCTGGATGGGTGTTGATGATGTAAGACTGCATGAGATGATTATGTAATAATGAAATGAAATGAAATGAGAATCCAGAGTGTCTTGAGTCCAGGGGGCTTGGTCTTGTGACATCCATGGTGTTGCATGTTGGCTGAATATTCCAGAGGAGACTTGTCTTGGTCCTTGAGTATAATTTCTTCCAGAGGGCTTGATATTATGCTTGAAGCTTGGATTTGTGGGCCTCTTAGTCAAGAGTGGCTTATTACACCATACCATTTCAGGGAGTGATAAACACACTCCCCCCCCCCCTTTGCGCATGCACCCCCACACTGCATCTCAGAAGGGGAGTGTGGGACCACACACCAATCAAAAATTGTGTGCAGGTCGGTACTCCAATGCCTTGCAGGGTACATTACCCTGCAGATTGGGGTGCGTCCTTGCACACCAATCCGCAGGGGAGTGTGGGAGTGCATTGAAAATAAAAAATAATAATAAATAGAAAAAAAGGCTTCAGGCTGGGAGGAACCACTCCCAGCCTGAAGACTTTACAGTCTCAAGGCTGTGTGGAACCCCTCCCGGCCTTGAAACCTCCTACAGTCTCAAGGCTGAGAGGAACCTCCTCTTGGCCTCATTCATTGGGAGGTTTTTCCTTTCCGGTCAGCAAAAATGACCTAGTCAACCCAGAGACTGTACAGTCACAGGCCAAGAGGGATTCCTTTCAGCCTCAAGCCATGTTAGAGATGGCCTTGTTGCACACCGATATCCCCTCCCTTTTTCAGCGGAATTGGACATCCACATCTGCTGGTGGGTATCCGTTGGCCACAGCGGGTATCCACAGATACCCACCCTTTCAATGGTTGGTGAGGCACAACCTTGCCGGATGAAATGTTTTCCTTCCAGCCCAGGCAAGGTACATGGAAGGGCTTCATTCCAGTTAGAGATTGTTTGTTTGTACATATGTACCTGTTCAATTTTTCCAGAAAATAGATACCATGTACTGCACCTGGCACCTCCCAGCGGGTACTGGCGGTACTTTTGGCAGGTACCTCCCCTCTCTTTCTCACTTAGTTTGACTGAAAGTTTAATTACAATCCTTTTGCATCTTGTTTGAGATAAAAGTCAAAAAAAAGATTGAAAATTATATGAAAGTGTTGATCTTGAAAAATTCAACACCTTGATTGAAATTTTGTACAAAAACTGGAATTTACTCCAATGAATCACCTCAGCTGATCATGATTTCTCACCTGCTCATGCTCAAATTGAAAAATTAGTCTCAATTTCCGAGAAGTTGAAATTCATTCCAAAATTTGATGGCTTCCTGAAAACTTTAACTGGACCACAAAAAGAAATTTTTCTACAGATTTCAAAATTGGGTGAAAAAAACCACATTAATCAAGGGTGTTAATAAAAAAACGTGGCGCGGTTTCTGCTGCGCGCAGCACACACGCTGTGGTGTGCTGTGCCTGTTCCAATGCCAAAAGCATACAGCAGAGGTGTTGAGATAGCATAGGTACATACATGTGACAATCATTACAAGAGAAGTAACAATCATTATGGATGAGGTGTGGTATATACGGACTGGATTACATACAATGAGTGGATTGGGAGAACATGTCTCGACCAGGAATGGAACAAAGGAGCGGTGTGCATACGAGGAGTGGAGTGGGAGATCATATCTCAACCAGGAATGGAACGGAGGAGCGGAAGTATATACGAGGAGTGGAGTGGGAGAACATGTCTCGACCAGGAATGGAACGGAGGAGCGGTGTGTAATAAGGGTACTTTATGTTTTACGTAAGGGTACAGGGTACGGATTGTAGAAAGTGAAGGGAGGAAAAGTATTGAGGCGGAGGGAGGAAGGAAGGAGTGAGGAGAGGCTTTGACCCCCAAATCCTGGGTGGAAGGAGATAACAGCAGGTCTGGCAGGCTGGTACTGCCTATGCAGAATGTTCTGGAAGATGGCTTGGTTGCCTGGCAATGCATGACATCATGCTGCGCTTGTGTGCTCCCTTGCATGCATATTATGTGATAAGGTCTGGAGTTAAGGGTTCCTAGCACAGCATAAGCTGCGCTATTTGTTTGGAGGCTGTGCGCAAAGGCTGCGAAGGTGAGATCCCCTGCAGCAATATTCCCTCACAAGGAGTCCAGCAGAAATCCCTCACTCTTCAATATAAAAGAAGGGCCTCTCCCCACCAGAAAGTCCCTTCTCCCCATCAGCCTACAGAAGTCTCACAGAGCAGTAAGTTGATCCTGAGCTACTGGAAGTGTTCCGGAGTGTCAGTAAAGTGAAGAGTTAGTGATAGTGATAGTTAGATAGTTAGTGAAGTTAGTACATCAACCTACTGCGGTAAGTTCGATCACCCAAGTTGAAGAATAAGTTAGTAACATATTAGTAGTAGTAGTCATCATATAAGTAGTAGTACATTAACAATTAACCAATAACAAGTAGTAGTAGTATTAGTACCAGAGCTCTAGTTTTTGATTAAAGTGCCTTAGCAAGAAATTGTTCGAGGAAGAGATCATTAACAAACTCTATAACAACTCATCTGTTTCGTGCTCAAGTCATCAGCACCACAGTTTCCATTATTAACCTGAAGTTGTAACAGATTCATTAGTAGATTGATACGTGATCTAGGTCTGATAGAGATTACTTTACGAAAGTAAGATCTATCTTGGAATCAGCCATACATTATTAAATATTGATTACAAGACTCTTAGTTATTTGTTTAGTACATTTAGAGGGGCAGGTCTTTCAAACCACCCGTAAGTTGTAATAGCCTTTCAACCTATTTGCAATTTATTTCCCCCTCAAGGGATCTTTTGATATACATATACTTTACCGTGTCTATCCGTCCCAGGAGTCCTACAACGCTTTTTTATTTAATTTTTTACCGCTTATTTTTCGAGTTTTTTTGAATTTTTAAAGTTGTTTCCTATGTTTTAAAGCGTTCAGAATTTAATGGTAAAAACCATTTTTCATGAAAATGAGTTTTAATTATTACTTTTCTTTTTCCACTCATTTTTTCCATTAATTGTATGCATACATGTTTTTACCTTATTTTTTATGCTTTTTTGAAATTTTAAATTTATTTCCTAGGTTTCAATGTGCATAGAATATAATAGCTTAAATCAAGTTCCATAAAAATCAATGGTTCATTTTCAATACTGAAATTAGACACATTTTTCACTTAAATTTCTACAGGTTAATTTTCATTCTTTTTTGACATTTTAAATTTTTTTCCTAGACTTCAAGACATGGTTAAAATGATGGTAAAACTCATTTTGGATCAAAATGAAAACTATATCTTGAATACTGCATTTGACATCTCCACTTTTTCACTTGATTGTTTGCATGAATTGTTTTACCTTATTTTTTATGCTTTTTTAGAATTTTTTTTTTCCTACATTTGAATATGTTCAGAATTTAATGGTAGCATTCAATCTTCATAAAACTCAATGGTTCATACTGAATACTGTAATGAGTCATATTTTTCAATTGATTTTTAACAGCTTAATTTTCATTATTTTTTGACATTTTAAATTCTTTTCCTACACTTTCAAACATGCATAAAATTATAGTAACAATGAATTTGCATCAAAATGAAAACTATATCTTGAATACTGCATTTGACATGTTTCTTTAATTAATTCTTACACACTTAATAATCCTTATTTTATGGAATTTTAAGTTCATTTCCTACACTTTGAAAGGTTTTGGATTTGATGGCTGTATTCATTTTGCATTCAAATAAAATTTGTATACGGTACAAATTACGCAAGAAACCGGGTACACTCATGTATTAAGATTGAAGCTTTTATTTTCAGGCAAATTGGAATTCACCATTAAGTTCTACACATTTTTAAATGTAGGAAATAAATTTAAAATTTCAAAAAATGATCAAAATTAAGCTGGTAAAAATCAATTTAAAAAAGGGCCTTAATAAAAAAACCCGCATTTTCCGCGTTTTGACGCGCTTTTGCTGCGGCACAGCACACGCGCATTCCGTGTTTAAACCCGCATTTTTAATTAATTTATTTTTGCCATTAATTTTAATTTTTTTTAAGTTTTTAAAATTGTTTCCTAGGTGAAAAAGTGCGTAGAACTTAATGGTGAAGTCCATTTTCCAATAAAATGACTTTTGATTATTAATTTTTTTTTTCCACTTATTTTTCAATTAATTGTTTACATACATGTTTCTACCTCATTTTTTATGCTTTTTTGAAATTTTAAATTTATTTCCTAGGTTTCAATGTGTGCAGAATTTAATGGTGTAATCCAAATTTTTTAAAACTCAACGGTTCATTTTTAATACTGAAATTTGACATTTTTTTCACTTAAATTTCTACAGCTTAATTTTCATTATTTTTAGACATTTTAAATTTATTTCCCACACTTTAAGACATGAGTAAAATGATGGTAATAACCATTTTGCATAAAAACCAAAGACTGTTATTGAATACTGTGTTGGACATGTTTTTTTTAATGTTTTTTTGATTGGTTTTTACCGGCTGGATTTTAATCATTTTTCAAAATTTTAAATTCATTTCCTACATTTAAAGATGTGTAGAATGGAATGGTGAATTCCAATTTCCATAAAAATACAAACTTCAATTATAATACGTGAGTGTACCCCGTTTCTTGCATAATTTGTACTGTATACAAATTGTATTTGAATGCAGAATGGATACAGCCATCAATTTTGTAACCTTTCAAAGTGTAGTAAATGAGCTTAAAATTCCAAAAAATAAGGGTAATTAAGCGTGTAAGAATTAATTCAAAAAATACATCAAAGGCATTATTCAAGATACAGTTTTTATTTTGATGCAAATTGATTGTTTCCATCATGTTTACCATGTCTGAAAGTGTAGGAAACAAATTTAAAATGTCAAAAAATAATGAAAATTAAGCTGTTAAAAATCAATTGAAAAATATGACTAATTACAGTATTCAGAATGAACCATTGAGCTTTATGGAAATTGAATATTACCATTAAATTCTATACACTTTTAAATGTAGGAAAAAACTTTAAAATTTCAAAAAAGCATAGAAAATAAGGTACACACATGTATGCAAACAATTAAGTGAAAACGTGAAGGATTAATTAAAAAAAATGTGTCAAATGCAGCATTCAAGGTATAGTTTTCATTTTGGGGAAAAATGGTTGTTACCATAGTTTTTCACATGTCTCAAAGTGCAGGAGAAAATTTTAAAACATCAAAAAAGAATGAAAATTAACCTGTAGAAATTTAAGTGAAAAAAATGTCAAATTTCAGTATTAAAAATGAACCGTTGAGTTTTGAAAAATTTGGATTACACCATTAAATTCTACACACATTGAAACCTAGGAAATAAACTAAAAATATAAAAAAAGCATAAAAAATGAGGTAGCAACATGTATGTAAACAATTAATTGAAAAATAAGTGGAAAAAAAATTAATAATCAAAAGTCATTTTATAGGAAAATGGACTTCACCATTAAATTCTACGCACTTTTTCACCTAGGAAACAATTTTAAAAACTTAAAAAAAATTAAAATTAATGGCAAAAATAAATTAATTAAAAATGCGGGTTTAAACACGGAATGAGCGTGTGCTGTGCCGCAGCAAAAGCGCTTCAAAACGCGGAAAATGCGGGTTTTTTTATTAAGGCCCTTAAAAAACATAAAAAAAACCTGTCCAACACAGTATTCAATAAAAATCTTTGATTTTTATGTAAAATGGTTGTTACCATCATTTTATACATGTCTTGAAGTGTAGGAAAAAAATTCAAAATGTCAAAAAAGAATGAAAATTAAGCTGTAGAAATTTATGTGAAAAAATGTGTCTAATTTCAGTATTAAGAATGAACCATTGATTTTTATGTAATTTGGATTGCACAATTAAATTCTACGCGCACTGAAACGTAGGAAATAAATTCAAAATTTTAAAAAAGCATAAAAAATAAGGTAAAAACATGTATGCAAACAATTAATTGAAATAATGAGTGGAAAAAAAAGTAATAATTAAAACTCATTTTTATGAAAAATGGTTTTTACCATTAAATTCTACATGCTTTGAAACATAGGAAACAGCTTTAAAAATTCAAAAAAACTCAAAAAATAAGCGGTAAAAAATTAAATAAAAAAACCGTGAGCAAACGCGGAATCCGCGTGTGCTGCGCGCAGCAGAAACCGCGTGTAAACGTGGATTTACCGCGTTTTTTTATTAACGCCCTTAATCAATCATGATTATAAGTTGAATTTAGTAAAGAACAAAGCCATTCATCTTGAAGAAAATGTTGAAAACCTTGATCAATCAGAAAACAAAGTATCTACTGCAAAGAATCATATTTGGGTTGTAACACATTTCAATAAATTACAAAGTGAGATGTTTGAGGGAATTTTGAAAAATATTGGATTGAATCAAACAGGAGATGTGGATGTAGATCCATTCAAAAACTGAACGGAGGGGTTTCCTTCCAGTCAACAAGGTACCTCCTTGTTGATCAGAAGGCAAACCTTCTGATAAGCAAGGTAATGTACCTTGTTGATTGGAAGGAAACCCCTCTGATCAACGAGGAGGTTTAATCTGTTATTGACAATGTTAGATTTTTTAAAAACTGGCACTGTGCGACTTGGTTTAAGTTGTGGTTCAAGACAAGGCTTTCCAAAAGCAAGGTTGCAGAAGGACTTGGGGATGGCACCCTTGACTTGATGGAGACCCCTTGTCCTTATTAGTATGCAACCTGCAGTCTGTGTTCTGTAAGCCGCACAATTTCATCTTGTATTTCTAGGCTGTACGCTGTGGTAAGCCAATCCTGAACCTCAAGGCACAGCAAGACTACATATCACACAAGAATCACAGACCCAAGACCCCTCAAGAGTTTCCCCAGGCCCTCAAACAAAGGCAACAAACCAATAACCCTCACAAGTACCCCCACATGGATAATAACATCTCCCACCCCTCTGAAACTCCTCAGATGAAACCCAAGACCAAATTCCTAGTTCATTATTGATAAGTGTCAGCGGTGGGTTACTCCAAGGTGACTAGTATCCGCTCGATGGAAGTTTACTGGATCCGTCCAGTGGCTCCACGTCGTAGTAAGATACTGATCTGATCCAAAGAGTTCACGCCCAGGCCGTTGATAAGTTTTGAGACAGTCAGGCGTATTGAGATCCAAACAGTGATTTGGTGATTTAAGAGGAGTACGCTAGGTTGAAGTAGTGATGTGTTGATGTATCTTCAAAGTAAAGAGGAATGATGTAAAATAAAGGGTGGTTATTATTTCGTCTCTTCTGAAAGTCTGAGGAACAATAGACTTCAGTCCGTACAACTTTATATATCTGGCTTGGCAAGGCCAACTAGATACAAGCATATGTAGAGTATGTTAATAATGAAATGAGTGAAATGAATAAGAAAATGAGTGACATGAGTGTGAAATGTATGAAGTGCAGTTGGTGTAGCAAAATACTCAGTTGACTAGTTAAGGGGTAACTGTATTTTGCTTGCCAGCTGACATTTGCTACTACTAAAAAAAACAGAAAAAAAAAATGATGAAGCTATCATTTGAGAAAAATTAATCAAAGTAAAAAAGTAACCAGAGATCCTTGAACCAATACCATCGGAGAGTGTCGGCCCCTTGTGAGATGTCTTCATGAAGTTCTTCTATTCTTGGGGGCTGTTGTCCTAAAGCACCTTTCCATGCAAATCCAACAAACTTAAATCTTCTGTTGCTTATAGTAGTCCCAAGTTCAGGTGTCTTGTATTCGTGAAGTGTAGCTCTTGAGGTACCTGCTTTCCATTCCCAAATACCAAGCACTTGTCTTTGAACTAAAATTTCTGAAGCCTGTTGTAAGTTTTCTATATCTGTCACTGATGAAGTTTTAATGAATTGTTTCTCTTTGACTGATATCGGCAGGAGATCTAGCATAGCAGGGTCGTGCTTGAGGAGTGAGAATCGTCCACAGCGAGGTGGGAGTTTGTTATACGCAAAAACTTCGGGCAGGATGTTTTCTGGTGTCCTTGTGACCATAGAAATCTCAGCTGTCTTGGGAAATACCACTTCTGACTGTTGATTTAAAGTAGTCGAGTTGTTGGGAAACTTGACTTTGCGAGGTCGCTTAGGGTGCAGGTATCGAGAGGAGTCAGAGCTTTCGTTGAGAGTCGTCTCCAGTCTACTTGGAGGTCTCACAGGCTCCTGCACTGATTTGTCTTTCATCAGTCTTTGCAAATCTGTTGTTGTTGGAAGCACGGTAGCTGAGAAAGGGCCTTTAGGGCTTGATGGTGATTGGAACAATGTCGATGCCCCGGTGATCTGAACTTCCTTGCGAGGACGTTTAGGATGGAAGATTTTAGGTGTATCAGACGTGTAGGCCAGTCCTGAATGCTTGGATTCAGATCTCCTGGCAGCTCCGGTGGTCTTCAGAAACGAGGTCTGGTCGTTCGACGAATTCTCAAGGCGTTCAGCTGGTATCGTTCCTGTGGTCCGGGAAAGCGATGAAGTCTTTCTTTTTACTTCAGTTTTCATTTGCTGCTGACCAAGATGGGAAATGTCGACAACGTTAATGAGGTGTCGCATCACCTTAAACGAACGGCTTCGGAGGGTTTGGGAATTCCCCTTCGTGTCCGAGCAAGATTTCTTTGAATGTTTAACTGAAACATGCGAGATCGTTTCCTTGCTCTTCACCGTCTTATCCTTGGCTGTCGCGAGCTTGTGGCTTGATAGTTGAACATGAGATGGAAGCATTGTCGTCAGTCTTGTTTCCAGGGCCTCCAGCCGAGTCTGTAAGATGGTGAGTTCCTTGCGGAGGACTGTGACTTCTGACATATCGGACCTTGTAATCAAAAGAGACCAAACGACCAGCGAGAAACAGCGATGACAGATTGAATGCTGATTCCAAAACGACAAGAGTAGTTTGCAAGAACCAACAGCCACAATCTGTTCAGAGGGATAACCGACGATGATCGCTAACTTTGGTCCAGAGATGATGTCCAATGAAAGGATGGGGAAAGTGTAAGAGATGAGAAGATGCAGAGAGATGGGAGAGATGTTTGTCGTCCGGCTTGATGACCAAGAAACGACGAGGGATACTAAGACGATGATGATTTATCTGCGTTAATCCGCGAGGTTGAACCAGATTTTATTCTTCTTAAAAAAAAACTGAAAAAAAAAAGATGAATCCTCGTAAAGCAAGGGTTCCGTCTGCACAGGCTGTCCAGGTGTACAGGTATAAGGGGTGGTCGCCAATTGTCAGCGGTGGGTTACTCCAAGGTGACTAGTATCCGCTCGATGGAAGTTTACTGGATCCGTCCAGTGGCTCCACGTCGTAGTAAGATACTGATCTGATCCAAAGAGTTCACGCCCAGGCCGTTGATAAGTTTTGAGACAGTCAGGCGTATTGAGATCCAAACAGTGATTTGGTGATTTAAGAGGAGTACGCTAGGTTGAAGTAGTGATGTGTTGATGTATCTTCAAAGTAAAGAGGAATGATGTAAAATAAAGGGTGGTTATTATTTCGTCTCTTCTGAAAGTCTGAGGAACAATAGACTTCAGTCCGTACAACTTTATATATCTGGCTTGGCAAGGCCAACTAGATACAAGCATATGTAGAGTATGTTAATAATGAAATGAGTGAAATGAATAAGAAAATGAGTGACATGAGTGTGAAATGTATGAAGTGCAGTTGGTGTAGCAAAATACTCAGTTGACTAGTTAAGGGGTAACTGTATTTTGCTTGCCAGCTGACAATAAGACTTAGCTCACACACCAGCTACACACCAGTAACCCTTCTCAATATAACATCAAACCCCTCTAAGCTATATTCCTTATCTCTTATCTCCTTCCATCTTATGCCAAGAATTCTCACACAACAGTTATGTTTGATAGTAGTCCTCTTTTGGTACTTTCTTCCCATTTCCTGTTCAATCCTTATCTGGGTGAAATAATTACCCCCACCTCTTCCCCTTGATAAGATTATCCAAGCCTCTCTCTGTTTCAGAATGAATTCATTACCTTATCTTAGCTTGGCCCTTTCTTTGGTTTCAGTCTAGTCTTATCTTATCTTATTGCCACACTAAATTAGGCCACATTGTTCATAGTTACAATTTTCTTCCTTGTTCATTCTTTGTTCCATTTTGTTCCATCCATCTTCCAACCACAAATTGGCCACTCCCCAGAATCTTGTATATAAGGAGCTTTGTTTTTCTTCTTCCTTTGTTCCACATCAGCGCCTGCCCCAGCAATTCAGATAACTGATCACCCATAATTAGCCAGGTATTTGCCCATCAACATTTGGGATACCTTGATTTGTGACAAGTTTATTTAGACTAGTAACCATAAGAAATATTAGACCATCTCCACCGTTGGGGACTACCCAAGTGCCTAAATTCCAAACTCGCGCGACTGCGGCGCGCGTTTAGTCCCTGCCAAATGTACAAGTTCACACCGGTGTGGTAAATAATACTGTGTTTTTACGCAGAAAATATAAAAATTTATTATTATCTCTTTATATATTATACTTAGGGTAAAAATAAAATCAGAAATGGATTCCTCAGGTAAAATTACCCCTAGTCACCTACTATAACTGACCCCATATCTCTCATAGTTTAGAAGTGTCAGCCTGCTACTAATCAGAGCCAGCCTGAACAAAGCATTTTACATATAAATTAGAGATATTATTACTTATATATGTACATACATTTAAAATAATAAAAATATACTATTTAAATAAGTGGAAGCACTATAATAGAGACATTATTACATAGTACAATTACATTGTAATATTTTAAGAGAAAAACATTTAAATAATTAAATAAATACTGGAAAACAACATTTTTAACCAGAATCTCCTAATAACTTCTGAACCTTAAGCATAACTCAGAATATTATTGCAGATTCTGAATCTACATGCAAAATAACCTAGGGTAGCTCACCAAGTGTACCCCTGAATTATTACTCCTTCACTTACTTTGTAGTCCTTGAGTGATATTGGACCAAAATACACTGTAGACCCCTCCAGTTACATCATACTACATGTTGTAAGGGGGCTACATGTGTAATTAAGGTTCATGCAGTTCGGGAAAAATCTACAAACAAGGTTTACATCATTGAAACCTTAACTACATGAGCACAGACTACAGTATTGAATTGTTTGGGATGATCTGTGGCCCTTTTTGGCCCAATTGGGACAATTACTCTCTTGAAGATCAACCCCTGCATCATGCAGTGCTTACATAGGCTGCAGGAGTGTTACAGTTTCGTCAGAACACCCTGTAAACATGGTTACAAGCATTACATCATCTCCTTGGCACCTGTAACCAAGCTCTACAGGTGCTACAGATGATCAAAAGCTCCCATAGGCTTAGTAGGAGAGTTGTAGCAACTAGAGAGACTCCTGAGTTCGCCTCCAGAGGCCCAGAATGGGTACTTAAGAGCCCCTTCTTCCCCCTGAACCTTGTTTCCCCATCTTCATCAGTACATACCAGCATAAACCGTCACCAACAACCAGTTTCAACCTGCCTTTTGGCCCAGTTCCTGCTGTTATCAACCTGAATTTCACTCAACAACCCAACACCTGTTCCCCAGCACTCTCCCAACACCTCTCACTCACCTTTCTGAGCGCTTCAAGAACAGTCCCCCTCTCCTGAAGACCTCCTTGGCTTAGAGATAAGTACCAGTAAGTATTATCTCTTTGTTTTCTTCAGTAGTAGACTTTTTTCTGGGTTTACTCCTTTATTACAAAGGACCATAACTTCAGTACCACCCCTGCAACTCAGGACCTGAAATTAGAGGGCACAGTAAAAAACCCCTGCAACTCAGGCCCCTCTGTAAATAAAAAACTTAATAGTTTTTTATTTACTATTTTCTTTTATTTTACACACAATTCCCCCACTTTTCACGTGTCACCCACACGTGTACACATCCCATTCTTACTCTTGCAGCTAGTGTAGCTAGAAGAGTTCTGCTCTTGGCATCACTTAGCCTGACAAGAAGTTACACAGATTTCAACCTGTCACGGGATATCTTTTGGATTCTTTACTCTCAGTATGGCTTGTTTTGAATACTAGATGCATATTGAATATTGAATTCCTTTGTGTTGTATTGAATTCCTTTATTGGCACATAGTGCATATTGAATTCCTTTGTAGGTGCACATGCATTCCTTTGTAGTAGGACCTTGTAGGCTAGCTAAATTCCCTCAAGGCAGTGCTCTCACCAGCCAATATCCCTCACCTGCATGTATTAGACTAGCTAAAATCCCTCATTGGATCTTCAGGCCAGCTAAAATGCCTCAAAAGCCTGTACCCTGGGGCTAAAATCCCTC